ATATATATTTTTTAATGACTCTCTCAGAATAATTTTTTATTTAATAGTTAATATAAATAAAGAATAATAAAATAATTTCACATCTCACCCAACTTTAAATTTTTTTTATTTTTTCTTTCAATGTAAATTATTATTTTATTTATATTTGTTTATTTTTTTTATTTCTATTCTATTTGTCCTTATATTCTAAGTTCCTATAAATTTTCTTTCCTAAATTTCTACAAACCATTAACTATATTCTTTTTCTTTTCTTTTTGTTATGTCATATGTGGTATATACCTTCCATTTGCCATGTTTTTCTTTTTTATGTTACGTGGATTTTATTTTTTATTATTTTAATCTTAAAAGATTAACAAATTATTATATAATTCTCAAATATAAGTTGTAATGTTACATTATTACTTAAAATTTTATCAATGTATTATTTTTTTATTAATCCTGATTATATAAGAAGAAATTAATTTGAATATATTTTTATATACTTTACATTTTATATTTAGTTGAAATGAAATTATCTTGAATATATAATATTTAAATAATTTTGATTATATAAGAAAAAATTATTAATCTTATATATCGTTTTAACTATTTATATTTTACACATTATAATCGTATATTTAGTTTCATAGTTCTATTATCAATCTTTTGATTGTTTATTAAATGACTTCACATAGATCTACACAATAAGATTTTCATATTTAACTATTAGATACTTTATTTGTTTTGATTATTCCACTCTTGGCTTCATTGTTTAATCCCCATATGGTTTGTTAGCAAATTACTATTTCATTAACTAGTTTTCTACAAACAAGATGTTCTGCGAGATTCATCCTACTAAAAAGATAATTTTTTCTAGCAACAACTTGGAATAATAAATTGAGCAAACTCCAATATCACTAGTAACAAAATGCATGTTTCCACTGTCATAACAAGGAGAAGATACAAGTTCCAACTCTTTACTGTTACAAGTTACAACCACCTATATGTTCTCCAAATCCTCTAGGACTACGACACAACCCTTTCCATCTGGAACATGGAAATTAACATGATGACCCTGTAAATTTGGGTCCGAATGCCTTCTAGTTCAAAGCTTATTTAATAACACAAACTGTTAAAAGGAGGGTAGTAAATCTAAACCATGAAACATGCAACCCACTATTATCATTTGACGGTGGACAGTTTACTTTTCGCGGGGGGTTCTCATTTCCTTTGCATGTTTCCCACTACTGCTGCGCCTTCCTTCCCTTTCTCTTCTCAGCGAAGACGAACCCCATCAAGGCCACGACGGACAAAGCACTGAAGCAAACGGAAGCAATATCGAGCGACATGTGGCGTCCAGTGATTGCCTGGATTTCAAAGAGGTTGGTAGTTTTCTTGGCGTCAGTGTTCTGACCGTAAGCCACTTCGAGATCCTCAGCGTTGAAAGCGTAGGCGCGTACGAAGTACGTGGCGGTAGGCACGTCGCGCTCGATGGTCCATTCAAAGGTTTGGTTGGTGTTGCTGTAGGGCCTTGACACGATCTTGAACTGGCAAGTCTTGTCCTTAGATACACGGTCATCGGTTTTCCTCCAAGCCCGGTCGACCTGGCTAATCGGAGCGTAGCACAGCTTGACCCCGATGGTCGTGTAGGCAGAGTCGGTCCCAGCTGGGAAACTCTGGTTCAGCCCCCAGATCACTGTAATTTTGTCTTCACCACCTTTCAAAACTGTACAATTTAATCAATAACCCCATGAATTCTTAAGTAACAATAAAAAAGCGCAGAAAAAACATAAATGGCTATTTATCGAAATTTCCAGCCTGAAAAAAATGATGAGGCAGCATGGCGCAGACAAGGTTGAAAAGGCACACAAAGCTATGTGGAAAAAGCCGTGAAAGTGGACAAAATATTATTTGTCCTAAAGCTGGTCAACTCTAGATTTCAGACTCTCAAGTAATATGGTCCATAGATGGATTCTTCTTCATCATAGAAGCAAGTTATGGTTTAGATATATCTGTAACAAAAATCTGCTATTGCCATTTACTAACATCTCCTATTGCCTTGGTTCCAACGAAGATTAATACGAATATCAAACAATCTTCTAGTTGTCTTCACAAACGCAAAGTAAAACCTATAGCCTGTAAAACTATGCAAACACTGAAAATTTATCCCCAAGAATTAAACGATGCTCACCCCGTGAAGGAAATGCTCTCAGATTACTATCAAGTTAACTTCGAGAAGAGTTCATGCAGGTAGACATAGAGATCTAATCAGATAGAAATATATCTATATATATTTAAAACGAGTTGACCTTCTTGGGAGAAACCAAATCAAATTCCGATTGAGAGAGGGGTTTAGATGACTTACGTCCTTGTCTATGCGAGGCAGTAACTACAAGGGTTCTTTGCAGGGAAGAGAAAGAGATCATCCCATAAGTCTCTGCAAAGCAAGAGAAAAGAAGAAATGAAGCCAAGAGAAGACCTCGAGCTGCCATTGATGATACTCCTGAACTCTTGATCAAGCAATCACACAAAAAGCTAGGAGGCTAGGAACTGTTGAAGACTTGAGAGGCTATGATTCCCAATAAAACTCCTTGATGATGAATAAACTTGAAATTAAGGGCCCCTATATAGAAGCAACCTCAAATAAAATAATAAGCGGAGGGATTTCTCTAATAAACACATGGCGGAAAAGTCAAAAAGGCTCAAAAGTATCTGCTGGTATAGCTTCTTAAGAATTTGAAGAGATTCTTATGTGGTATAACGCCCCTTTGACGTGATTAAGAGGTGGGGTTACAAGGGATTTGATATGCAGAAAGCATAGGTTTTTTTGACTTTTGGTGTGATGGTTTTGGTGTTTAGTTTATTGGTTTGACTTTGTTTTGTGGGACTAACTGGGTTGAAAGACATATGGTTAGCCGTATAGCAAGTACTATTCTATATATGTTTGGCTTTGTCCCCTAATGTTTAGGAAAGTGCAAAGGAGCAAGAAGAGGAGATTTGAGCTTTACCTTATAAAATTAAGCAAAAGCCAAAACAGTGTTGACGTGGTCACAAGTTGGCCTAATTGTAACAACATGCTCAAAATTTTATAATAATTTCTTCTTTTTATTTCTTATTTTTTGGAATACATTGAAGGTACTCCTATACCTGCTTAGGATGACTTGATTTCTTTTTTATTAGTTTTCTAATAAAAAGGATTGATATGTCCTTTAAGTTTTGATATTGTTAGTAGTTTCTGTACGTTATACATAAAAAAAATCAGAGCTGAATAATTGAAATTTAAAATTAATTATTCAATTTGGGTATTATAGAAGGCTTGCACGTGCTTGGATTCTATGGTTGAATTGCGTTTCCCCAAGTTTCAATAAAGAAAAAATAATACATGACTCATAAATTAGTGCATAATCTCTTATTTAAAAAATAAAATTTGAATCTTTTTTTTAATTATTAAAAAAAATCAAAAGAAAAATAATGGATAAAATAAAATGATTGTCAAAGAGAGAGAGAGAGTTTTTAATTATCCTTCAAGAATAAAGAAGTGACTTATTTTGTGGTGATTGCCTAGTCGGCATATTTCAAATATGTATGAAGCTACCTAGTTGGTTATCTGTTACCAACTCAATTTAGAATAAATAAATATATGAATGAGAAGTAGCCTTCTATCTAACTTAGACAGTCAGCCATCCAATTCATGTACGCTTCATTCTATCTATATATTGTTCTTTCCTTATCTTCCTTGTAATGTTTTCAAATTCATGCTTCCTTTTTAAATTTGTGATAAGTTATTGATGCTCCCGAGAGTCTTCCTTTCACACCAACACAATAACCAATCTTCTTCCAATCTCCATTAAAGTTTTGATTTATATTTATTTTATTTTATTTTTAATATCTCCACGAGATTTTTCTCCTTATAAAACTAATTACTATAATACTATATATATATATATATATATTATAATATTATAAAAACTGACAACCTGCAGTTTTCTTTTTTTAACGTGAGTGAAATTAAATAGCACAAGACTGTGGTTAGGTAACCTAATTTAACATTCAAAAGTTAAAGGACATGTGATATATATGAAAATAAGAATGGGTCCTTTGGGTGTCTCAAATCCCAATATAGATGTTGATCCAATTGACTAACTTCTGGGGCTTGAGAAAGAATAAACATAAGAAAGAAATAAAGGGTGAAGCCCATTTCCGTGATGGGCTGCCAAGCTTGAACAGGAGTTCCCTTTTTGTTCTTTATAAAAAACAATCATCACCTCCCCTTTTTCTGTAAATCAATACAAAAATAAATCACATACAAAATATAATATTTAATGTGGCTCAACATCCACAGGGAAAAACAATATCTATTATAATGGTAGAGATTATAAAAATATAAACACTCAAAAACAAATTTAATTTTCAAGTCCATTTAAAACGCATAAAATATCTTTTATTATATATAATTTAATGTTTCCTTTATTATAATTTCTCACTGTCTTACAATTCTGTAAAACATTCACAATAAACTCATCCCTTACATAGAGATCATTTAAACATTACATCTCTCATAGCTTTTACTAGTTAAGATTACAAAGCCAATTACTTAATCAATTTCCAACCCAAGAAAAATTTTTATCCATTAAATGTATTTACCCACTTAATTATCAAATAATTCTCGACTAATAAATTTCACCAAAATTCGAACTGATCTCCTATATGAATTCCAGTTAAATATACCACAATCTAGTGAGACAAAAGGGGAAACGCTGAGAGTCGGATGGCTTTGCCATCGCCATCAACCTCGATACACACAGATAACACGAAAGAAAAGACAACACCAACACCAACAAAATGACATCAACCGAAAAGCCGGCCAAAATTCCTTCATCGGCTGCCTCACTCCCTCCCTCGTGCCTTATGATATTAACAACGCTTTTCAACGTAACTTGCACCTCTGGCCTGTTCGTTCTCTACTTCTCTTCATTCATTGCTGTCCAATCCCGTCTTCTTTCTCTCACTCTGGCATTGCCATGGATAGGAGACTCAGTAGAGAGTCCTCGATGCAGAAGAAAGCATTAGAGAATCGACGAAGAGCCGAACATGTCCCGGACCTTACTGATTTCATGAACGACATGTTCTTTGGGACTGTCAACGATGACAAGATGGCTTATTATAACTTAACTGGTACCGGTAAGTCAATGGATGACGATGAAGATTTTGAATCTAGCACAAGGAGCAATAGTAGCAAGTTAACTCAGGAATGGCTAGAAGAAGCTAGGCGCATGGTGGCCTCATCTCCTCCTCGGTGTGACTCTCCTACTCGCCCTGTTGTATCGCCTAGGTTTGCTGCAGAACCAGGGAGGCTTTCTGCGTTATCATCACTTGAACGGAGAGACCCTCTCTCTCGGTCTGCTAGAAGGTATTTGACCGCGTTTCCTTCTGCATCTAACATGCATTCATTTCGTTAAATATGATTGTTTCTTGGCCAATAATATGTATGAATGAGTATGTCTCAGGCACAGGCAGATGGAAGGATTCAGTGAAGAAATTCTATCAAAATCAGCAAAACACAGCCGCAACAAATCAGAATCTCTAGACTCACTTAACTCTCCTATTGATATGTCCCCTGCCGAGGCAGTTCATAAATGGTTCTCCAACATTCTCAAACAGACCGACCGCACACCACTATCTAGTGGACCACCATCCCCCACTAATGATCACACTGCAGCCCCCGCTTTGCCGCCTAGACAATCGTCCCTCCGTAAGTCACGCTTTCAAGTAGACCCACCTGCACCTCATGCACAAGGTATCCCAGTCCCCTCCCGCCGAACCTTCAAACCTCAAGCTCCATCGCAAGACGCCCAGCTGCTTTCTCCACCGAAAAAACTCATTGAGTCGGCTCAGAGGAGGTCAATATCGTATTCCACGTGTTCTTATCCAGAGAATAAGCCTCTTTCACCGCCAAGGAACTTGGTGGAGTCTGTTCAGAGGAGGTCGATCTCTAAGTCTACATGTTCCTTGGAGAACATTGCACCAAGGAGCAATTCAAATGGTTGGTCCAAGGAAGAGGATGGAACTCGAGAGGTTGGTCTTAATGAATTTCTAAGGGAGCAGAGAACCAAGATTGAGATGATTTTGAATGGAGAGGTTGATTACAAGGCCAAGATTGTCCTCTCTGGACCTTCAAACAGTTAAGTATTAGTGCCATGTTTTGGAGTTTGTAGACTAATCTAAGAATGGTGATCATATAAATAAATCTAGGAGAAAAGTTACTTTGAATCAAATGAAAGCTCAACTGAATCAATTTAATTGTAGATTGTTCACTTTGAAATGTGTGAGATTTTTGGGTTGTAGGTACGAGTTCCATGGTGGCAGCTATATGCTATGCATGCCTACAAGAGAACAGGGCTAGGAAGAACAAAGGAGAAGGTGATGAAGATGGGTGCATTGTTGTGCCAGTGATGAATGTCAGAAGGGAAAGAATGTGGAACCAGAGGCAGGCGGCTTGGCTCTTTCACCATGTTGGACTTGATGCCACCTCACTGCTCTTTTCGGATGAGGTACTTTAAACCTTTCTGTGTGAAAGATAGTTCTAATTTTAAAATCAAATGACCCAACAAAAATAATTTGATTTACTTGCTCATTTTGAGAGAGGGTGCTTCTTTTACTCTGTTCTTTACAAAAGTTGTTCACCTTCATGAAATGATGATATTAATTTGTTAACATTCAATTGGAGAAATGAAGTTCCAGCATGATTAATTATCAAAAATAATTTTATTATTGCATATGGATACTTCAAATTTGAAGGGTTATTAATTCTTGTTAGATATATCATACAGTGATAATTGAGCTTAGCAAGCAGTGGTTGGTATGGCAACATAAGAGTGTTGCATTGTTCTTTTTTCATGTTTCTTCCCACATTTATTCTTGCAAAATAATTAGTTACAATGTTTTAGCCTTTCCTGCTAATGCTTGGGATCAGGTGGATCTGGAGAGTTTGATGATGGCTGGCCAGTTAAGCATCCTTGTAGTTGGACAAGATATTCTGAGAACAAATGGAGAGGTTAGTACATGTTAGTCGTGGATAGTCAGAAATTACCTAATTTTTATTGAAATACACTGATACAGAGATAAATTAGTTGTATAATTCAATATGTTTTTGTCTAGGTTGGATCTCCGTGTACTATTCTGACAGATAATTATTGTGAAGATGCATATGATCTACTGCAGACCCCAGTGCTGAAAAAGCTTTTGGTAAATTAGGCTCACTATTCTACAGAACAAATATGTCAAAATGGCAATTCTGATCTGGCATTCTCTCTGGTTTCTGATGTTACAGCTTGCTGGCATTCTTTTAGACACACAAAATCTGAATGCATATACTAAACTATCCATGGCTAGGGACGCAGAGGCAGTTCAGCTGCTGCTGGTCGGCTCAGCCCCAAATTACAGAAATGCTGTTTTTGATCAATGTAAGATTTTTCATTACTATATAACCTCAGTGACAGTATTTTGTTCATTCATACATCATGAGATTAATTATCCAATTTCTGGCTTTTTGGTTAGTGATGCAAGATCAAAGGGACAATTCCTTCTTTGAAGCATTACGGCACAACTATGGGAAGCCCCCAAATGACGGTGAGCAATCCACTTGGTTAAGTCCACTTTTAGCTTATAGAGAGTAGATTATACGTGGTTTTGAACTACTCCCTTTGTCTTTCAAAGATTGCACATTTCATTATATTTGAAGTCCTCATAGACCATTCTTCTAAATCTTCTGGTCACTGCAGGTGGTTATGATAATGGAGTGCAGATGGAGCACACGGTCCGCGAGAGGAAATCAACCTCTATTTCTCATCACGAAGCTTCTGTACGAAATTCAGATAAGAATTCTAATGATGCAAGGAATGCAAAAATTAACAAGGCTCCACCACAATCAGGTTGATAACTTTATTTGTTTAATCTTGAATACAGCAAGCACATATTTCATTCTACAGAAACGTTTGCATTGGCTAACTTACAAGCTTTCACGTTATCATTATTGAGCGTTGGTAGCTGTTTAAATAACATGTGTATCTGATCTATGTCCTTCAAAAGCTGAAACTATTAACACCATTTCAACCTTGCAGCAAAACCTACCCCATCACCGGCGAAAGCACCTCCAGCTGCACCTGAAGTCTCTCGTGGAAAGAATAAGTTCTTCCTGGCCAAATGGTTTGGTTTTGGATCAAAATGAAAATGTCTTCACGTACCTGCCTATTGTAAATTGGGTACAGTCCTAGACCTAAATTTTCAATGATCCAATACCAAAACTGGCGGTCAACACTATTTTTGTTAGGTGCATTCCGAGAATTACAAACATATTCTTCCTCTTAGGTATTCTTTGGCTGGCTGCGACGCAGTTTTGAGTGGTAGCAACAGAAATTAAGGATGTATCAAGGAAAAACGTTGAAGCAGTCAAGGTTGCTACCGAATAAATAACATGCCTATTTATTAACTATTAGTATTTTTGTAATAGACGATACTGTCAAATGCTATCAGTTGCCATTGGTAACATCTATTGTATTTGTAGCCATATCGTTGTGGCTGTTGTTGTAGACAAATGGACAATCTTGTTCTTGTCAAAAATATTGACTTGCCTTGCCTGTCTAGTAGAATCAGGAATTGTTTCTTCTGGATGATCTTGTTAAAGCATCACTTTCTCTTGCCTTGCCAGGCTTTTCTCTAGCATCTACGCCTTCTTAATCCAGTAACCACTGGATTAATTTATAGTTTACCGGTTGGTTTGCAGAGAATATAGTTATTTATTGGTGTTGCTACTCTGTCACCATGGATTTGAACTGAAACCAAAACTCCAAATATCCCATGAAACAAATTTGCTTTGTCGACATTTGCATAAGATATTGGGGATACTTTATTTAGAGTTATTGCTGTCGTTGAAGCCCCAAAATAAAGTAAAATAAAAGTGATTCTGTTTAATAATTTGTAGCTAGATTATTCTAATCCTGTTAAGGGTAAGGATTACTCAATTGAATACACTTTCTTCATGATTGTCCCACCTCCACCTTTTTGCCACAATTTCCAAGTAGTTGCAGGAGTTTTTCCTTAACAACTTATCTCCCAATCATTTCTGAAGATGACTAATTGTGTCATTTTTTTTTTCAAGGGTTGAACTTGCTCATTCTATTGCTATTAAAAAACATTGAACCAACTTAATCTGAATTCGACATATATTATACTTTAAATAAGAGGACATGATAACTTATTAAGTAATACTGCGGATGGCACAGGGACATGGATGGATAAATATTGATGTTACAAGTACTGGCTGATTCAAACTCATGTTAAATGTCTGTCATATATCTGGTTAAGAAGAGCAAAATTAAGAAGATTCTGCAGAAAACTCTTGATATATCTTAGTACTATCATAATCTTTAAGATGGCCAAATCAAATCTTTTGCCTTCCGCTCATTTTCGATTTTACGAAAATAATGCAATATCATCTCTGCTCTGCAAAAAATCGACCATTAGAATGATGGGAAAATCTACACCATCAAGTTGCACTCACAATATCATGTCAAATGTGGGGAGAGATTCTGCTCCAAGGTTGCCCCCAATATGTGTAGCATTGTGGTTTAGACAGATGGTTGTTAGGAGCCAGAGTGCATGAACCTCAAATTGTGTGGTAATTCCTCTTCACTTTTGCGTTTAATGACATTTGGCTTAATTTTTTGGTAAAATAAAAAATGTTCACAGACCCTTTATCAGGATTTGAACTTATTAAACTAGCATGAGTTTCCATGACTCTAGAGTCTAGACATCTTGAAGAAGGCACTGACCTAAAGTTAATCCATTGATATTAGAGCAAAGGAGCAAATTTTCAAGTCATAGGGATAAAAAATTAAAGTAAGCGAACTGAATAGAACTATGTATCCACGTGCAGTGCGCACACACAAAAGACTTGCAGTTAGTGATTTTCTCAGTCATCGTCAACAGCCCCATCCAGCATCTGCAATGTTCTGCTAGACACAGACATTCACTTACCCATGAAAACTACTGTCGACTTTTTTCTCTTGTAGTATATATAAAATTTAGAAATGATACATAATTTTGAAAGGAGCTTGCTCACTTATCTAGACCAGATCAAGGAAGGAAAAAGAAATTAGGATTTCTTAAAACAGCTGGAGATGGCAGATGCCTCTGGATGTGGGAATTATTAGGCACGTATGTGATACAATCTGCCTTGTCCAATTCTGGCCACTTGTTCAATCCCAGCTGTAACTAACTCCCAACCCCTCTCTGGGGGCCCCCCACTCCTTCTCTGCACAATTATCTGTCCCCTTCTCGACCCAGTCTGCACCCTCACCACTCCATGCTGGCCCAGGACATGAAGATTGAAGCCCCATTTCGCTTCACAACCTTATTCTTATGGCATTGATGATGATGATGATGATGATGGAACCTTTGGGGCTTCTTAATGTGTTGCTCTCATTCAACCTTCCAGGCATACAGAAACAAGGAAAATTCGGATGAGCGGCCTGGATTAAGCCCTTCCAATGAACCACTGCTCCCTGTCTGAGATGACAATGGTGTCGATGTCAGGGATGACGATGATGGTGGGGAGGAAGATGTTGATAGAGATGAAAGAGAGGTGGATGATACAATAGGCTTGAATATAAATAAGGCATGCCTTAAACCAGGACTAAAAAGCCAGTCGTGGACATCCCAATAAACTTCTACTCTTTTTTTGTTGACATGAATGGATTCGTTACCCCTGAATTTCCATTGAAGATGCTTGACATGAAGGGCCAAATGCCCATCAATTCTTATCTCCATTTCAGGCTCAACCCCACCAAAAGAATTGACATTACTCATGTTGCCATTGGTTGCACTTCCGTTCCTGCACTCAATTGAGATCCCATGAAACCTGCCTTTCTCATGAAATTTAACTCTTGTGGAGAATTTCTTTTTGCCAAATCTGTGCTCCTTTCTTGAAACCAAAATGGGGTCAATAAGAGCAGGCCTGCACCCAGTTTTCCTGTATGCTTCTTTCTTTAGATCCCCAAGAAGTAGCACAACCTCTTCGTCACAAACAACAGCAACATAGTACTCGGAACTGGGCTCCGTTTCTCCATTGAATTTAGCAGTCTTCAGGTCCCAGAAGATATCAACGGCTTTACCATCCACAATAAAGCGCTTGGAGCCTTGTTTCCTCCAAAAATACCAAGGTTTCAGCTCAACTTTACAGGTATATTGACTCTCTCCCTCGTGGCCTTCAACTGATACTGAGAGGCCATGAAGTAACAGATTCTTGCACCAGGTAACAGTGATCAATCGGCACTGGTCAGCAATCTTTGTACGGTAAACAGACATAAAAACACTCTGCCCGGACCTGGTTACCGCTGCTGGATCATCATTCGGCTTCTCACCTGATGAAAAACAAGCAGGAATCCCACTAGGGTCTTGCATGGTTATTTGCAAATTTGAGACAAGCTGAACGAACTAGCTAGATATAGTGGCAGAGCCTGAACTAGAGCAAGAAAAAGTAGCCAACAAGATGAGGAAGAATGAGTTGGAGAAAACAGAATTGAGAGAGAGTGAATAATAACATAGGGAGAGTGTGAGAGAGATCTTGGTCACAAGATGTATGAGTCATACAGAAGCTGCCAGAGGTGTTCTTGGCAGCATTAATGGATGTTAAAAAAATAATTCCAAGCTGGCAAATAGATGGCAGTGAGTGAGAGTGAGTGAAGAACAAACCATTTTATATTGCACTGCTCAACTTTCTCTTACCTGGATCTTTATTTTTAATGTTTTGTTTGGTTTCCTTTGTTTTTTACTGCTTTATTCTGTTACTCAATTTTCTTCTCAGCAGGACAACTTTGTTGAATCCTAGGTGGCTTTTGCTTCTGCTATACTTAAACTAGTTACTCCCATGCATGGTTAATAGTGGAGAAGGCCATTTTTTTTCACCAGATTTGGAGTATAGATTTCTACGTTCCCAGATAGAGTTCTCGAGGCCATTGACAGCACATGAAGTGGGATTAATTCAAAAATATTAAAGAGACAGGTCAAAATTAAAATAATTTCCAAGATGAAAAGAAGTTGGTTTCCCGAGGTGGGTCTTTCGTGCTCTTTTGTCATTTGTTGAAAAAAAGTTTTCAACACTTTACAATTTGTAATTAGCGGGTTCGTTTAGCTTTTAACTTTTCTTCAAAGGTGTCGAGGAGAGAGGAACCTAGGGAGTGGAATAGTTGCTGAAAAATCTGAGGAATCCACACTGTTGCAGTTTGCAGCAGATCTGGTCCAAACTCTAGTGTTCCTCACCATGGTTTCAGACAACAATCAAGTTAATTTCCACTGTCCTTTTTAGCTATCAGCCCTTTTAAGTTAAGATTTCAATATCCCACCATACCAGACTTAAATGTCATAGTTGGAGTGGTTTTTTCACAACTGAAACTTCAGATTTTACATTTCTTTTGTTCATATTTAGCTTCAAGAAAAAGGAACTGACTGAGAAGCTGAAAGCAGATGTAAACCAACAAACCCTGACTTTATTTCCTTGATCAAGGAGTTTATAATTACTGACATCCATGATTTTCTTACCTCATGAAATTCAAAATTTGCCTTTGTAGGCAACTAGGGTGAGTCTTTGCATGTTATCAAATTTGTTCAACCATAAGAATGAGGAAAATGAAGAGTGTAAAATAGAGAAATGGTGGTCCCCTGAAACCATGTCATTGGCAGTTGAAGGGTCTAACAGGAATGATTGGATAAAGAACAAAGGATGAGGGAAACAGAAAGAAATGATGGGATGGTGTGTGCTACTTTGACAGATGCAGCTTGATTTCCCAGGTTTATTATTTCCACCTATATACAGGTAAGAGTAATGCGGATGCTCTGCACCAGAGCATTCGGACAAATTCTATAATAAAGTTACCATTAATGAAAAGTTACAAATAAGAACCATTAGATTTAAAGGGTTCATTTTCAGCCTTTGATCAATAAAAAATTTTTTTATCCTGTTTACTTGACAAATAGGTTAAGAAAAAAACTTAAATTAACTCAAAATAAATAAAAATAATAATTGAAAGAAAATAACTAACTAAAAAATATTAATTAAAACAAAAAATAATAAAAGAATAACAAAATTTTTATAAAAATTAATCATTTACAATTATATTCTTGAATAAAAAATATTAATTATTAAAAAAATTTTAAATAAATATTATAATTAAAATTTAGTTTAGTAAATTAATATTTTAACTATAATTATTTTTATTTTTATTTTTATTTTTATTCATTTATAAATGAAATTTTATAAACCGTTAAATACTTTTAGCTTTATAATAAAAAAATTAAATGTTTGATTTTAACAAAAAGTAGTTTTATTTTTATAATTATTCATTTATTTCTATTTAGACGTAATTGGCTTATTACGTTAAATCTCACATATTTACATTAATATTTTTACAATACTTATTCCAGTTTTATAATTTTTTATGTTAATTCTTACAATTTTATGTTAAGATTTTTAAAATTTTAATTTACGCCATAATTGTTTTTATCCTTACTATTATTCACACAAAATTAAAATTTGTAAGCTGTAAATCACTTTAAACTTGAGAATAACAATTTAAATGTTTAATTTTTTCAAAAATTTATTTATTTGACATAATTAACTTATTACTTTAAATCCCACACATTTATCTCGAGATTTTGACAATACTTGTTCTACTTTTATAAAGTTTTACATTAATTCTTACAGCTTTATATTAAGGTTTTTCAACTACTAATTTTTACCATAATTCTTTTTATTCTTACTACTATTTATGTATAAATTAAAATTTTTAAGTCGTAAAGCACTTTAAATTTGTAAATAACAATTTAAATATTTAATTTCTTCAAAAATTGTGTTTATTTGACTTATGATTAACTTGTTGTGTTAAATTTCACACATTTACGTCAATATTTTGACAATATTTGTTTCACATTTATAATGTTTTACGTTAATTCTTATAGTTTTACGTCAAGGCTTTGAATTATTAATTTTCACCATAATTCTTTTTATCTTTACCATTATTCACGTATATATTAAAATTGTAAGCCGTAAAATATTTTGAACTTGTAAATAACAATTCAAATGTTTAATTTTTCTGAAAATTATGTTTATTTGACGTATGATTACTTGTTATATTAAATCTCACACATTTATGTTAATATTTTTATAGTGCTTGGTTCACCTTTATAATGTTTTACATTAATTTTTACAGTTTTACATCAAGATTTTTTAATTATTAATTTACATTATAATTCTTTTTATTCTTACTATTATTCATGTATAAATTAAATTTTTTAAGCCGTAAAACACTTTAAACTCAAACTAACAATTTAAGTGTCTAATTTTTCTAAAAATTATATTTATTTTATATAATTGACTTATTACGTTCAATCTCATATATTTACGTCAATATTTTAATAATATTTTATGTTTTATGTTAATTCTTACGGCTTTGCATCAAGACATTTCAACTACTAATTTTCACTATAATTCTTTTTTATCCTTATTGTTATTCATGTATAGATTAAAATTTATAAACCGTAAAATACGTTAAACTCAAGAATAACAATTCAAATGTTTGATTTTCCCAAAAATTATATTTATTTGCCATATGATTAACTTGTTATGTTAAATCTCACATATTTATATAAATATTTTGATAACATTTGTTCCCGCTTTATAATGTTTTACATTAATTCTTATAGTTCTACGTCAAGGTTTTTCAACTATTAATTTTTACCATAATTCTTTATATTCTTACTATTATTCTCACATAGATTAAAATTTGTAAGCCGTAAAACACTTTAAACTCAAAAATAATAATTTAAATATTTAATTTTTTTAAAAAGTATGTTTATTTGACATATGATTAACTTGTTATGTTAAATCTCATACATTTATACAAATATTTTAACAATACTTCTTCTAATCATACAAAAATTCTAACAACTCATGAGTAAGTCATGAATGTGTTTGGTTAAGATCCGTAGCTCAACATATTCAAAAAACATGTGGCTTGTCAACTAAGAAGGAAATTTCAATAACATTATATGAGGATAATACTGCTTACATAACATAGTAAAGATATATTAAAGGCGATCGAACAAAACATATAGTTTGTCAAAATTCTTTTTCACTTATGATCTCCAAGAAAATGATAAAATTAGTATTTAACAAATTTAGTCAAGTGATAATCTAACAGATTTGTTCACCAAAGCTCTTTTTACTGCAACATTTGAAAAGTTTGTATAAAATATTAGAATGCATCATTTTAAAAATCTCTATAACGCAGTCATTAGAGGGAGTAAAATACGCATTGTACTCTTTTCCTTCATCAAGATTTTTTTCACTAAGTTTTTTTTTGATAAAGTTTTTAATGAGGTAGTATTTCAAAAGCGTATTCTTGAAAAGATTATGCACTTTTTTTCTTTCACTCGAATTTTTTTACCATGAGATTTTTTCTTAGTAACGTTTTAACGAGACATATTCTTAATACAATAGATATTCAATGAGGAGTGTTATGAATATTTTTGTGAATATCTATTTATATTATTTATATCTAGATTTGATGTAAATTAGATTGAATTAGAATTAATTCATCCAATCTTTAAGTATTATCTTCATCTTGTAAACTTAATCTAGATAAAAGGTTATTAGCCTATAAATAGGCCCTTTCACTTTATTTGTAAATATATACTAATATAAAATCTTCTTAGTCCCTCTAAATACTTTCTTTCTCTCAAAATATTTTCTTTTATATTTGTCTTATAATTATTCTTTTCATATTTATTTCATAACAGTTCCACCTTTATAAAATTTTATATTAATTCTCATGGCTTTACGTTAAGGTTTTTCAACTACTAATTTCACTATAATTTAAAAACCTTGACCTAAAGTGATAAGAATTAATATAAAAAATTATACAGATGCAACAAAGATTATGAAAATATTGACATAAACGTGTGAGATTTAATGTAACAAGTTAATTATGTCAAATAAATATAATTTTTAAAAAAATTAAATATTTAAATTTTTGTTCTCTAATTTAAAGTGTTTGTAGCTTACAAATTTTAATTTATGTGTGAATAATAATAAGGATAAAATGAATTATGGTGAAAATTGGTAATTGAAAAACCTTGACATAAAGTGGTAAGAATTAACATAAAACTTTATAATTGTAAAACAAGTATTGTTAAAATATTGACATAAATGTGTGAGATTTAATGTAATACGTTAATCATAAATCCAATAAACATAATTTTCAGAGAAATTAAATATCTAAATTGTTATTCTAGAGTTTAAAGTGCTTTACGGTTTACAAATCTTAATCTATATATGAATAATAGTAAGGATAAAAAAATTATAATTAAAATTAATAGTTGAAAAGTCTTGACGTAAAATTATAAGAATTAATATAAAAATTATAAAGGTAAGACAAACATTTTAAAATATTAACAAAAATGTGTGAGATATAATATAATAAGTTAATTATATTAAATAAATAAAATTTTTGAAGAAATTAAACATTTAAATTGTTATTCTCGAATCTAAAGTGTTTTGTGGCTTACAAATTTTAATCTATGTACGAATAATAGTAAGAATATAAAGAATTATAGTGAAAATTAGTAGATGAAAAGTCTTGATATAAAACCATAAGAATTAACGTAAAATATTTTAAAGGTGGAACAAACATTATCAAAAGAATTAACGTAACAAGTTAATCATATGTTAAACAAACATAATTCTCGAGAAAATTAAACATTTGAATTGTTATTTTCAAGTTTAAAGTATTTTATGGCTTACATATTTTAATCTATGTATAAATAATAGCAAAAATAAAAAGAATTATAATAAAAATTAATAGTTAAAAAGCCTTAACGTAAAACTGTGAGAATTAATGTAAAAGATTATACAGATGCAACAAAGATTATCAAAATATTAACATAAATGTGTGAGATTTAATATAACAAGTCAAATAAACATAATTTTCAGAAAAATTAAACATTTAAATTTTTATTTTTGAGTTCAAAGTGTTTTATGGTTTATAAATTTTAATTTATACATGAATAATAGGAAAGATAAAAAAAATAGTGAAAATTAATAATTGAAAAACCTTGACGTAAAATGGTAAAAATTAATATAAAATTTTATAAAGGTGGAACAAGTATTGTTAAAATATCAACATAAATATGTGAGATTTAACATAACAAGTTAATCATATATCAAATAAACATAATTCTTAAGAAATTAAACATTTGAATTGTTATTATCAAGTTTAAAGTGTTTTACAGTTTACAAATTTTAATTTACGCATGAATAATAATAAAGATATAAAGAATTATGATGAAAATTAATAGTTTAAAAATCTTGATATAAAATCGTAAGAATTAACATAAAATATTATAGAGATGAAATAAACATTTATCAAAATATTGACGTAGAGGTGTGAGATTTAACGTAATAAATCATAATAATAATTTTAATTGAATTAAATTAGTTAGATATAATGTTAATATTAAAAATAATAATATTCGTATTTTTAAAATAAAAATAAAATAAAATAACAATTAAATAATATTTAAAATAAAATAAATAATTTAAAAATTATTTATATTGTTAATATAAAATGGATAAGTTTAGAAATTATTTATGTTGTTGACCTATTAACTTGCTAAGCAGGTTTTTTATTATTTTTTAAATTAAATTTAATTAGCTTTACAGTAAGGTTATATTACTGTGAATTCATTAAGTATTTGACTTATTAATTTATGTATAATTTTTTTATTTAAAAAATAGAATTTAAATCCCTCCCTCGTTTCCAAAACCAAAAATAATGCAAATGCTCTACACTTTCTCTTTCTAACTTATTTATTGTCATTAATTAGTAATTAATCAACTCAATTTGCACTTAACTATACCTCAAAATTCGCTAAATATTAATCATGTTTTGTGTTTATCCCTATACACTGAAGATGATGATTTAGTTGCTGTACAGCATTATGTACTCTTCTGCTGACAAACTATGCAAATTATTATTATTAGTATTATTGGTATTGAAATGGAGTCTTTTGTTTTAATAGAAGGATTTAGAGATTCTCTGGTACATATTATTTATATTTTAACTTCTTTATAGTAATCAATTATAAAATGGTAACATAAGTTACGTATAGAAATAAAAATATATATTTTTAAGTATTGCATCTCGTATTTCACATAAACCAAGCAAACTAACCAATATAACAAATCAGTATATAACATAACAAATTCAACATAAATTATGTTAAGTATAATATTTTAAAATACTCTGAACTATTTAAAAAAATTAAATAATTTTTACTTTTTTATTAACATTTAATCAATATTTTTGTACTTTTTACATAAACCTTTATGGTTAATGGTTAACTAATTATTCTCAATCAAAATTTTACTTATCATTTTATACCAAGTGACATGTTAATATGTTATAATGAAAAATATCGTGGTATATTGATGTGATATGATAATATAATATATAATATTTTTTACTTTTCATATTAATATTATGTCAACACCATTTAGATATAGAATGATAAATGTTATTTTAATTAGTAAAAATTATTTAATCATTAGATCTATTAATTTAAAATAAAGTATAAAAATTTTATTAAATGTAAATAATAGACTAAAAATTAATTAAAAAAATAAAAAAAATAATTAATTTAAATATTTTTAAATAATTTAAAAAATTTTATAAGCATTATCTCGATATATTAGATCTATTCATCAAAGCTTTGTTAGCAAAAGCAATGGGCTATGGTAATCTTGCAAAAACAATGGCAATGGGTTTGTAATGGACTAGACCGGACATTCTAGTAAAGCTACTCGGGTAAACAACAGGTCCAACAAATCCAGAAGCAAAAAGGGGGCATTCCTGTCATAACACAGTCTACGATCATTGAACCCCAGTTCTCTAGGGGAGGGTTTTGGGCACCGGGGCTTATTGATTCGCGGTGCAGAAATTCCTTTCATTTCTCCTTCACTTTCTCGCGTTTCCTCAGCAGACAAACGGGAGTGTAGGAGCTGACTCTATTTTTCCTTTAAACGCAGACAATGCAATCGTTTATTGGTGGGAGCATCCGATTGGGTCAAAGACATGGTTTTTACAGCTGGAGCGGTGCTCATTTTAAAGCCAACAGAGCTTATTTGGCTACAAATAATAGCAGCAGGTTGATTCATGGATCCAACAATTCAATCAATTCTTCCAGGAATCACCTCCTGCAATCTCTTGGAGTATGGCTTTTAATTTATTTCCTTTAATTTTTTTGGGTTTTGTTTTAAGTATTGTTTTAATTTGTTTTGCACAAGCCATTGTCTTGCCTAAAAACTTTTCCGTTGTTGAGTTCTCGTTAAGTATAATTTGACTGTTAATTGCTGCTAGGTCAATATCTTTGAAGTCTTGTTGCTTCTTATGTTTTTGTAAGTCAAATTTTGAAGTAAGTTTGTTACTAAGCATGCAAATTATTTTAGCAGACAAGATTGGGATTCCAAACAAAAGAATTGATGTTGCCCGGTTGTTCTGACGGATGTTCGATGCCTGGTTTGTCTCAGTTGGCTGCAATGATGTCTACTTGCTCTAGCAGGTCTATGACAACAGCTGCCTCGCCTACTCCGGATTCTTCCCAATCTGTCACTGATGTGCCTCCTCAAATCAAATTTAAAAGGCTTGATAAAACTGCCAAGCACATAATGCAGGAAAGTATTTTTTTTCTTGTCACTACCTTAATGATTAATGGTATGTTTTCTAATTCCCATTTCGAATTGTATGGATGATGTACCTGCAGATTCTGGATAAGGAAGCAGTGGAAGAGGTGAAGGCACAGAGGGAGATACCTGACATTAAACCTGGCAACATTGTGCAACTCAGAGTGGTATGACATTTTTTTACAGGGAAGGTGTTATTACTATGTAACTATGGCATGGTATTGAGCTGATTAAATTAATTGGTGTACTATTGGTGAGTGCAGGAAGTACCTGAAAACAAGCGACGTGTTTCAACCATAAAAGGCATTGTTATAGCTAGGCGTAATGCTGGCCTAAATAGTACATTCCGACTGAGGAGAATGGTAGCAGGAGTTGGGGTTGAGTCCCTCTTTCCACTGTGAGTACCATCCAACTTTTTTTCTTTCTAACAAAATTCAGGCCTGAAAAGCATGTTAAGTAAGATTTAATGTATCAACTTGAAAAAAAAAGCATGCTACTGTTTGTTGGATGACCTGCAGGCAAGGTGCAGTGAAGTTGCATCACTAGCGCCGTATAATATCGAGTTTGAGTATCAATGGAATGCAAATCATTGAGAAATATGGTCACATATTGAGACACAGAAATGACAAGAATATGTATTCAGAGGATTAGGTTTTATGCTCTCAAAAAAAAAAAAGTTACAAAAAGTTTCCACTAGACTTTTAACATCTTTTAAGGACTAATGAAATTGAAGTTCAGCATACCCTATATGGTATGTTATTAATGATATGCAAAAAGAATGTCTGTCACATAACTCACTATAAAAGTGTTGCTTCATTGTGCTTCCAAGGGCAAAACTCTTGTATGATTTGGTTGCTATTGAAGGTGTTTAACAAATTGCTAATAGTGAAGGGTTTCTGTTAGTTCATGCTGACAATCGATTTGCTCAAGTTTCATTTGCATAGTTGTTTTAAGCATGAATTGTCTCTAATCTAATAGCCCTAATAATCTCTTCAGTCAAACTAAGTTTTTGGTATAGGGTTTCTTTTGTTAAATTTTATTAGTTGTAAGAGATTCTATAGTAAATATGAAAATGCACAAAGGGTATCCAAACCAGAAACCAGTGATCAGCACCCATTATCACGAGTTTAAGTGCATCCTCTCATTCTCCAATTCAGATATAATAAGCCAGTGAGTTTGTTTTAGCTACAGATATATGAAATTTCATTCTTTTGTATCCCAGATTCAACAATGATAGAATTTCTGTGATTCTTAGGCCTGTACAGGAGCTTCTAGTTGAAGATAACATGGGAATGACCTAGAATATCACTCCATCAGAGCACCTTTTTATGAAAGGCAATATCGCTGAGAGGAAGAGGGAGAGACTGAGGGTATTCATATTGATAGGGAAAAAGGCTTCTGACATGAAAATGTGTCCTCTTCGTGCGTCAGACACAGCTATCTGTTAACACTGAGATAGTGTCATCTGAGCAGGATTGTTGTTGAGTTCTTGGGTTATAAGTGTGTGATAAGAATGGTTTTTTATAAATAAAAAATTCACAAAAAGGATTATCCTTTGGGTGGCAGTCAAACTTAGGCATGCATCATCATGTCATCTCGTGTCCTTCACCAACAATCCAGTATCTATCATCAAGTTTGGGCCCTTATTTTTATCCGTTAATCAGGTTTTGCCATCTGCTTAGCTCCCTAGCCACATTCCGTACATGCCCAAGCATGTAAATGTTAAAGGTAGATTCATTGATTGTTGTGTTTAAACATATAGGTACTATTTGACCTACTGCAACCATCATGACTGATGATGGATGAGTTGGACTAGTACCTAGCTTGCCATATGGATTGTATTGATTGAGCTCTGTTGTGGGTGGGTGCACAAGAGGTTGAAGTTTTTCATTCTACTAGTACTTTTGTTCCTACTACAACTGTTTAATGCTTTCACTACACGGTAAATGCCAAAATTGCTTGATTAATTTGTTGGTTGGTCTTCTTTGACTTCTCGTTTTTCAAATTTTCTAATATTCTTTCATTTAATGACTAAAGTTTAACTTACAAAGGATTCAATCCAGAAATCTGGATTCACCTATGAGAATCATTTCTGGTTTATGGAAAAAGAAAAAGACCACAATCTCCTTTTGGCTTTCGTCCTTTTGTTGTGGCAACTTCACTTTTAATCTTTACTCTTGGTACAGGTGTGTTTGTTTATCATAATTGGTAACCAATAATTTTATATGGTTTTTGTAATTTCCCACATGATACTATATCCAGTTTCTTTCTTTCTATTTTATATAATTCACCAGTCTTTTGTTATGGAAAAGAGTTGAAAATATCATATAATTGTTCTCATTGTTTGTTCAATTTGGTTATACTTAATCTTTTACGTATTGGTCAAATAAGAGTGGGTGATGGATGACAGGTATTCCCCTAACATAAAGGAGATTAAGGTGCTGGACAAGAAGAAAGTGAGAAGAGCCAAGCTTTACTATCTCAGGGACAAGATGAATGCTCTTAGATAATCTTAAAAATGAACAGCATGATTTGAGGCCAGTGAGAAATCACACATGGCTTCATTGCGAAAAATTGTGGGGTCTAATTGTTTTGGCAGAGAATTCCTCTAATTATCTAGTTTTCTTTTCTTTTTATTTTCTTTTATTTTTGAATAAGTTATCTTGTTTTCCCTTAATTTTTTGCTTCTCCTAAACAAAAAGTATGAATCGATCCTTTTTTTTGAGAGGAATGCTTAGCAAGCGGGTAAAGGTATAAATTTATGCTTACTGTTGGATTGCTTGGATTGTTTTTCTAAATTTGGATTCTATCCTTTTGATGGTAAGGGTGTTGAAAGATAAAATGAGCATTGATGGGGCTGTTGCTTGACCAGTGGAAAAGGTTACCTCTAGAAAATGTTGCTTTCTACATAGAGCATGCATCTGAATAACATGTGAAATATATGCTTGGGATCAAGACATTACATGTCCATAGCATGTTCCCATGTATTTCCTCCATGGTTCCTATGGTCAAGCTGTCATCATCGATCCCTTAACATGAAAGAATATATTGTTATAATTAACATTACAAATCAAAGATTTGAGTCGTGCCATTTATATTTCATTCCAAACCAAGCACCTGCATTTCTTAATTAAAGCACTCTGCAATGTGAGATAGAATTTAATAACTTATTCTTTTGTTTTAATTTTGATTAATCAACCTTTTCTATGCAGCATACTCTATTTTGAAATTAATATTAGATTTTTAAATAGTATAAAGTTTTAAGCAAAGGGTATTATTATTATTATTATATCTCATAAAAATTACATGCAAAACTAATATTTTAATGAAGGGTCGACATTAAAAAAGTTGTTTTCATTGGAGAAAATGGAAATTATTTTTAAATATTTTAAAATCATATATGACAATTAATTTCAAATGAAGTGAGTTAAGGTGTCTAATGATTGAGCTATCCACTCAGGCCTATTTCAACTTGGATCGAATTTGGGAATAAATTTTTCAGTCGAAGCTCATCCCGGATCCAACCCAATTATATAAACAATAATTTTTAATATAAAAACAATATTTTTATTATTTTAACAATAAAATAATAATTAAATGGGTAGATGGAATTGGATCATTTTATTTTTTCCGTGATGTTCGTTATTTTCCATCTATATGGTTGGTTGATTCGCTGGAAGCCTGCTTACCCATTTCTCATGATTGCCACTCCCATTAATATCAACAAACAGACATTCAAATCACTGTATCCTTATATTTCCACTAGGTTTTGTCCCTCAGCAGTGGCAAAGACAATATCCACAATTCCGTTAATTGGTTTTGTAGATAAAGGCCTGCATATATAGTTATAGGTCCTCAAAGTGGCAAAGAAAAAGGGCGTTGAAGCGTCAAACAAACTGTAGAATTAACGGCTGCCCAATGACAACACTTTGGGCAATTTTAACGGTGAAGAAAACTGAACAATTTTTGTTTTATCTTTGGAAGCATTAATTAAATTAATTCGATAAACTAAAACTGTCAATTGTTAAATTTAAAAATCAATATTTGCTTTCTTGTGTTTTTAACTGCTGCGTTTTTATGTGATTATTGCAACTGCATGAACACGGGAGCCGGTAGGCGGCAAAAGCCAACAGATTAGTAAGGTGCCACGTAGCATCTGCAACATCTAAGAGGAAGGGCCCACCCGGAGATGGCAATATCTCTGTGGAAGATAGAACCAAATTTGTGGGACTGCTTCGGCACGTGCTTCCAAATTTGAGCTTTTGCAAAGCAGAGCTCAATGTCAATCTCCTAAAATTGAATTTCCTAGAATTACTAAAATAAGAGGAAGAAAAGGAAAACGCTGGAAATGATTATTAAATTACATTTGCGAGAGTCAGACAGTCATAGTCGGTTTGCTGATGCCCTGAGCCATTAAACGCTTCTCATTGACGAAACACCTCCCTCTACCCGTCCATCCATCACACCTTCTTCACCCCCACCCCGCGGCGGTCTTTTGTTTTTTTAATTTTAATTTTTTTCTTTGAAACTACGACTTGGGTTTATTTTATTCTGCAATAAATAGTTTGTATTTTAATTGTATAAACAGAGAAAGAAATTGGAAATTACAACAAAATTTTATTTTTTTTCCTTTTTGGGGTGGTGTTTGAAATCACAAGAATGCCGCAGAATTCAACGTCCGAACAAGAGCAAGATGATTCCGATGCTGAGTTCGTGGAGATTGATCCTACGGGTCGTTATGGTCGGGTTAGTTCTGTCACTGTTTCATTTCATTTCCTTTTTGCTATATTTTTGGTTTGTGTTTTGAGTTAAATAAAGTTGCCCATTTTAGAATAAAGTCTCTATATTTAATATTTGATGCTGATTGGCATTGGGGCTAATCTTAATTGATGTTACCTTTAATGGGTTATTTTGTTTTTGTCTTGTTTTTGCATTGGTTATTGCAGTACAAGGAGGTACTAGGAAGAGGGGCTTTCAAGAAAGTGTATCCTTTTCTATCTTTTCTTAGTTCTCTTAGTCTATATATTAATGCATTTTTAGGCTTAATTCATGAGTAGAGGCTTCTTTTGAATCCTTGATCAAGCTGTGAGAATTTAGATACAGAGCATTTGATGAACTGGAAGGTATAGAAGTAGCATGGAATCAGGTTAAGGTCACAGATCTATTGCGTAATTCTGAGGATTTGGAGCGTCTTTACTCAGAAGTTCATTTGCTTAAAACTTTGAAGCACAAAAATATAATTAAATTTTACAATTCGTGGATCGATACCAAAAATGAGAATATCAACTTCATCACTGAGATTTTCACTTCAGGAACATTGCGACAGTAAGTTTTTGATGTCCTGATATGTTTTTCTTAATGTGTTTACAGTTTTATAATTCGTTTTGGTTTATTGCAAATTTTATGTTTGATTGTTCAGGTACCGAAAGAAGCATAAGCATGTTGATTTGAGGGCATTGAAGAAATGGTCTAGGCAGATCTTGGAGGGTCTTCTGTATCTTCATAGTCACGACCCCCCAGTGATTCACAGGGATCTGAAATGTGATAACATTTTTGTCAATGGCAACCAAGGTGAGGTTAAGATTGGGGATCTAGGGTTGGCTGCTATTCTTTGCCAGGCTCGTTCAGCACATAGTGTTATTGGTAGGGATCATGTTCTTAATAACTGTCAATACTACGAGTTTTGGAACCATCATGGATTTGAGTACAAATGCTAAAGCAATTGCTAATGTTCTAGGTACACCAGAGTTTATGGCACCAGAACTCTATGAGGAGGAGTACAATGAGCTTGTAGATATTTATGCTTTCGGCATGTGTTTGCTGGAACTAGTGACCTTTGAGTATCCATATGTTGAATGTACCAATGCAGCTCAAATATTCAAGAAAGTGACCTCAGTAAGGCATTTGCGATCTTTCCTGTTTTAAATGTTTATGGATTGGCTCCTTCTTTACTGTGTGCCTTGCTTATTACCTTATGCTGATTGGTTGTAATCCATGAGTACAAATTTGTTGAAGAAGTTTAGGCCTAATGCAATAACAGGTGGAAAACATTGACCCCCTTAGAATATTAGTTCGTGATGTCTACAAGTAAAGCCTTATATGTTGCTAAGGAAAGGAATTAAAACCTAGACCCTGCTTGTGCTTATTCACTTAATGAGGCATGCCCTGAGATGGCCTAGGCAGTCAACATTGCAACTTTCTGGACTAGATTGAAATCCTAATTACTTGTTGTGGGTCCTTTATATTCTTTATGAACTTCCCTTTACTAATAATGTGGAGATATTCTAAAGAAACGAGAAATTTGGCTATATTCCATCAAAAAAATAAAAAAGAATTTGGTTCATTTGTTGAACTGAAGAATGAGTTTGGTAGGAACCATTATGTCAGCTGGAAATTAGATTATTTCCTGAAGCAACTTGAATTTTCTTTCCTCATCAAGTTTAGAGGTTGTTATCCTGCTTAGCCGCAGTGATAATATTTGCTTTTCACTTTTCACTGGTCAAGTCAACCTTGGTTTATTCAGCATGCAAGCTATACGAACTAAGTTTCTAAGTTAGAGTTGAGGCTCTGTGGGGTGATGGCATTGAATATATTTAGAGGATAATCTGCATCAATAAAATTATGAAATTTGTTCACTTAAAACTAATCAACATCCATGATCTTTTACTTTTTTGACCTCAAGCAGCTGAATGGTTTTTCCAATCGATCTCCTTCACTCTTCCATCTCTTGATCTACTTAGTGCATGTTTTACTTCTTATTGCTGCACTCACTTCCAGAGGGAAGACTTCTATTTTAGGATAAACTTTTGATCTTCTGCAGAGCATTCCTGTAGTTGGAGCCAGTGTAGCCTCAACACCTATTTAACAGAATTGTCTAGCCCATAGAAGTCAAACGTTTCAGCATGTTGGCTTTGTTACTGTATGCGAATCCTGAAGTCAGGTGGTAGAGGTTTAACAAAAATGGATGGGCTTAAGCTTCAGTTAGAAGTGTGCTTTTGAGCCATAGCCTATGCCGTGCTTTACTACCTTTCCTTTTGATTAAGTTTATTGACTGGATGATGAGGACTGATGAGCCCGATTGAATAGGAAAGATGCAGACTTGGGGCATCCTTGGACTACAATATATACCCTGCTTCATTATGGCCAATAATTAAAAATTTGATAATAAGCAATTAAATAAATCTCTGACCTGTCAATCTGTCATTTTCAACTTGTATAGTTCAGTTTTCTGCATTGAATTGAATCAAAATTTCTGTGAACAATTTGCCTTTTTTAATTATCCAAACTTTGCTATGGTAGAATTAGTGGCATAAAATTGAAATAGTTGCTTGGCAATTGAAATTTTAGGTAATAGAGCTGTTTCTGTGTATTAGACACATTTATTGATAATGGAACAATTTTTCTTTATTCTCATGGTTTTTTCTTCCTTGGGCAGGGAATAAAGCCAGCATCATTGGCAAAAGTGACTGACCCTGGAGTCAAGTTATTTATAGAAAAATGTATTGCTAAAGTCTCTGAACGGTTGCCTGCAAAGGAACTTCTAGGGGATCCATTTCTCCAATCAGATGAGGAAAATGACAGTGTAGGTCGTTCTTTACGACCTAAAGCCCACACTTCAGGTAGAATTTAGGGGCTTTTTTTGAGCTTGAAGGCTTTTAAATATTTTGGCCCTCACATTTTCACATGATAAATGCAGGTAGTAGTTCTGATCCGACTGATTTCAGGAGAAGTACGAAGGATCTTCAATCTGAGGCAAGTGTAGATGTCAAAGTGCAAGGTCAGAGAAAAGACCTGAACACAATATTTCTGAAACTAAGGATAGCAGATTCCACAGGTCTCTCTCTCTCTCTCTCCCACACACACACACACACACACATGTGCATTCCCTTGTATGCCTTTTCTTCACAGTTCTTTCACTTTTCATCCCAGGAAAATATTTCATTCATTAGCATATCAAATTGTTTTTCCTATTGAAACTGAAAAGCTTCCACATTGTCCTAGGTCAAATTCGCAACATCCACTTCCCATTTGATATTGAAGCAGATACACCAACTGCTGTTGCTAGTGAAATGGTTCAGGAGTTGGACCTAACAGATCAAGATGTTCCAACAATTTCTGAAATGATTGGGACTGAAATCCGGTCCCATATTCCTGATTGGACTGCGAGAGAAACTCCGAGAGATAATTTTGTAGAAGTTGCAAATTCTGATGACTATATCTCTGAAAATAAGGGTGATGGCTCTCCCCTGGCTTATGAGCCAATCTCATCTCCAGGCAGTCTTTCTCTGGAGAGATTGCCATCAGGTCGAAGATACTGGTCTGACTCACCCAAGGTGGCTGCTGGTGGAATCTCTCCAGCTGGGACTGGCCTTTCAAACTTGGCTTCTCCGGTGGATTTTGTAAGGTTTGCAGATAGCTTTGCTGAACATGATGAACAATCTCATGACAGCTATGAAAGTGAAGGTAACATAAAAGGTGGTACTTCACTTAAACGACTGGAGAATGAGTACACACATCACAATGGAAGAGATGATGGTCAGGGGAAAGATGGAAACAGATCTGCAGACATGCCATTGAGCGCATCTGGTGAAAATCTGCATGATGGTACTGCAACATGTTCGTCAAGAGTGAAATGTAAGCTATCAAAGGATACTGAATCAGGAGTGAAGGTAATATTCGAGAGACTTGAGTTTCTATTGGTAAAGCAGCAAATAGAGATAGATGAGCTAAAGAAGAAGCATAAATTAGCCATATCAGACCTTCTGAAGGAAATTTCTCCAGAAATCCGTGAAAAGGTTTTGGATATGTGTAAGATGAAGATCCCTAACTATAACATTCAAAATGAGACAATCTGCTAAATTGTGCATCCAACATACGTAGGCTTTTACATGGGATTTGAATTTGCTTCTAGTCCTGCCTAACTTTGCAGTTTGATAGTAGTCCAGCTATGTTCCTTGTTAAATATCTTATTCACTGAAAAGATGACATTATACATCTTAGAAGGGATAATGATACTACTAGATACTCCATTATTCTTCAAAGAGATTTCATTTTGTTGGTAAAGTTGGACAGCCTATTGGTAGCTGATAAATCTGCATGAGTATCTGATATGGCTATTCAGTGGCTAGACAAGAGACACGATGCTTTGGAACTACAGCCGAAGGCATGCGTTCTAAGTAGATTGATTCATTGAATGGCAAGCCATGTTGGGCTGAAAGGAGAGGATTCAACAGAAGCTTTGGTTTCCATAAATAGCATGGTACTGTTGAGGTGAGCCATTGTTCCTGCAAGTCATGTACCTATGTAATATAATTTTGCATATGCCTGAAGAAATCTGCGCACCATCCATACACGAGTTTCTTCTTTTTTCTTTTTTAATCTGTTTTGTGTTGTTTTAATGTTCAAAAACTTTGTATGGAGCATATAATTGTACATACGATTTCTATCATTTTCTCCAACTACTTGAATCTGGTTGCCTCAAATTGCTGTGCATCATTGCTATTGTCTTTGATTGATTTTTTGGAAATGTGGCTTGTGTAATCCAGAAAGTTCTTTGAAGATGTGGCCTAAGAAACTCAGGGCTGTTTGAATGATTTTCATTTAGTATTATGTCTCAGAGTTATTATTTTGTGTTATGAGAGGATCTAATGTTCGGGGTAATGACTGTAGTCATATTTGCCTGTAACTAAATAAAACCTTAAGGAACTAATAAATAAATTTCATCCTTTTTTACGAAAGTAAGACTCAAGTATTTAAAAAAAAAAAATAGAATAAGAATTGACAATAAGGGTCTATTCCCTAATCCCCAATCTCTCATTCCTGTATCCTTTGAAGGTCTTGGCTGGTGCTTAACCTGGCTGATGGAGGGCCTAGGATTCATTACTACCTTCACCAGGGTTCATTCCACCTATCCATGTGTCCAGAATTTTCTTGCAAAGCTAAATAATCAAAATCCGATCAGCTAGAGCTTGAGATGCATATTATACTAAAAATAGCGTGCATCCTACTAAAAGTTACCTTGTGCTATTCTTGCCAACCATGCTTGCACCAATCATATGAGTAATTCAATGAGACTATATTGGTTACTAAGTTTGTTGCCTAAATAATTAGCAAAACGAAAGAGTTGTGGACTAAAATGACAAAGGCATGATACAATCTCAATCACTGAACAAAGAGAAAACTATATCTTTTTGGAAATTATTAAAACGCATGAGGGATATATAATAATTATATAGGCATGTAGCATTTATGGCATTTAAATTCATTTGCAAAGTTTGAAAGTTCATCCTAAACATGTAAATAATAGTCCATACATTTTTATGAATAAGGAAAGGAAATGTGGATGAGAACAACACTCCAACCACCGTTTTACAAATTCCTAATTTTTTTATTTTAATTAATTGTTGTTGTTTATTGAATTTTGAAAGAATTATTTCGTTAGGATTAGAGAATTGGTATAATTCTTTTTCAATAGTTTAAATTTTCCGATCAAGTACAGTCACTTTATTCTGTAGTTATGTTGCTTCGCTTATTTCTCTGTATTATAAGCTAATTATTGGAAGAGCTATAAATGTTTTTCCCAACAACCATAGAAATTTTTGATAGAGCAGTTTATATAAACCAAAGAAGCCGAAGGCAGTAGTCCTAGAGAAAGGCAGGCAGGCAATGAATGCATGCATGCATGCTCAAATGGTCCCTCCTACCACTACAGATTAAGCATATAGCTCTAAACTGCAACCCCTTCAAATAATTCAAAATCTTTTCAATTATTATAATTAAAGTGCCCCCACTCTAACTCTAATCTCATGCACACAGACAGAGATACACCAGTAAAGTGAAGCCCAAATTTATTAAAGGAAAAGGTTAAAGTGTGCGTATAGACGTTTAACAAAATATATACATTTAATTTATCTTGAATACACAGCTTCATTTAGCCACAAAAGCAGATAGAGGCAGATTGACAAAAAGCCTAGCTAGCTTTGCTGTACGCATACACAGCAGTAGCCAGTATGGCTGTATGGGGGAGGCAAAGCTAAGGTCATTTAAAGGCTTATCGCCTTTCTAGGTTTCTCTACACTTCCTTTCTCACTCAAAGGCTGATATTATTGTTGTTATTTCATTTAATTATTTACTTGCTTTTTGGCACCAATAACTGTGTTAATGTACTTTGACTGCAACTGCTACTTAAAACCTTGTTGTCCTTGGTTTCGCCTTTACCTACATTTCCGCTTGCTTTTCAGTTGGAAGAGTAGTTAATCATATGGGAAATCATTTAACTCTCCATTTTTCAGCAGCATATCTTTTGCTTTCCTTTATATTTTATGAGGTTTATCTGGGAAAACCTGACAATCCAACACTCTAATTCTTTTTGCATTCTTTTTTTATTGTTCCTGGCTTCTAAAGCTCTTCATATTGTTTGCTCTCTTAACCTGTTAGTCGAAGCCTATTTTCTCAAACACTAGTTGGCCATGAAGAATCCCATTGCCACAACCAAGAATTTTCCTCTTCTGTTCTCCCTAGTTGGGTTGTTTGTTCTGTGCAAATGTCAAGAGGATCACTTCTTTTCTATAGCACCAATGGAGAAGAGAGAGCAAGAGGCCCTGTATTCTGCTATTCAAGGATTTGTGGGGAAGTGGTGGAATGGCTCGGATCTCTACCCAGACCCTTGCGGATGGTCACCTATTCAGGTTTCAGTAAATCACTCCATTAGAGATAAAACTATAAGTATATCCTTGTTTTTTCCCTGTTTACTAGCTAGTATATCTTGCAATTGCACTCATTTAACATAAAGGTTAGGAACATCGACCTTGACAAGTAGCTACCTTTTCTTCCAATTTGAGTATGAAATATAAACTAGCACAAATTAATTGATTAAAAGGAATTGTGTGGTACTCAAGTTTTTCTTGGTAATTAGGTAAGTCTTGCATGCAAGCAAACAAGCAATCTGATAGTTCTCCTCTACCAGCACTTTGCAAACCAAACATTAAATTTGCATGCTAAGAAACAAAATGATCCTATAATATTTCAAGCATCTTCATGTTTATGTGTATAAAATTCTGTCATATTTTTCCTCAACCTTATTTTAATCCAACATTTTTATTTGAACAATCAAGTGCAGGGAGTTTATTGTGATCTCTTTGATGGCTTTTGGCATGTCACCGTTTTAAACATTGGTCTAGTTTTTGACAACTCTCTCCAGTGTAGCCAGGATGCAAAGTTCACACATCACCTCTTTGAGCTCACTCACCTAAGATCTCTCTCATTCTTCAATTGCTTTTTCTCACCTAGACATAACCCCATCAGAATTCCCTCCTCAAACTGGGAAAGACTCTCAAACAGCTTAGAATCCTTGGGGTTCCGATCAAACCGTGGCCTCATTGGTACAATTCCAACCTCTATTGTCCGCCTTAAACAGCTCAAATCACTAGTGCTACTAGAAAATGGATTAACAGGAGAATTGCCTATAGAACTGGGCAGCTTGGTGAATTTGAGACAGCTTGTACTTGCTGGAAACCAGTTCACTGGTCAGATTCCAGAGAGTTTTGGAGGGTTAACTCAGCTACTAATAATGGACTTAAGCAGGAATAATCTATCAGGGTCACTGCCGTTGACTTTTGGGGGTAATTTCACCTCGCTCCTAAAGCTGGACTTAAGCAGCAATAAGTTGGAGGAAAGCTTCCTAAAGAAATTGCAAGCCTGAAGAATGTCACCCTATTGGACCTTGGGGAAAATATTCTCGTGGGTTTGACACAGTCACTTGAAGAAATGGTTTCCTTAAAAGAGATGGTGCTGTCCAACAACCCTCTTGGGGGTGACCTCATGGGAGTTCAATGGGGAAACTTGCAGGATTTGGAAATTTTGGATCTTTCTAATTTAGGTTTGACAGGTAAAATACCAGGGTCCATGACAGAAATGAAAAGGTTAAGATATTTGGGACTTAATGATAACAATCTGTCAGGAAACCTTTCTCCAAAGATTGCAACCCTACCTAGCCTCGGTGCTCTTTACATTAATGGGAACAATCTGACAGGGAAGCTTGAGTTCCCAGGAGGGTTTTATAAGAAAATGGGGAGACGGTTCAGAGCTTGGAACAATTCGAATCTTTGCTATCAGGCTGAAATGATCTCGTCATTAAGCCATGTTCCTAATGGGGTGAAAGCTTGTTGACAAGAAAACTAATTCAGAGAAGAACCAAATACCACACTGAAAAGGAGCAAGAAGCAGTGCTACGAAAAGGAAATGCTTATTCATCTTCAGGGTATTCAAGCTCAAAACGCAGAGGAAATGCTTGTTCATCTTCTGATAAAAGGGAGATGGTTGCTGATCTTCTCCTTCCAAAAAACTGTTGTTCTAAATCTTGCCTTTAAAGAAAATTGTTGGCTTAGTAATTTATCTAGGGTTTCTCTTTTATGTGGTTAGTTATTTCGATATTGGCATCGTTTTGAGCTAGTACAAACTGATAATGATAAACTCCTGCCAACTCTCGAATGGATCCAAACAAACATATTCAACCTGGCATATAACATTGGGAGGCATCTTTGAAACGTTTTCAATGCTGACCATGTTTCGGATTATCGGAAAAATGGGTTATACCAAGTCAAAGATTTTGGCTGACCCTCAACGCCACGGTTACCTCCAACAGTCCACTATCTCCACTTCTCTGTCCCCATTTCTCTCCTCTCATGCATAACTAACTTCAAATTTTCACTTCTTTTTAAGCCTACCCAACCCAAGTGAAAGAAAAAGTAGCATCCTTTCTCATCTTATGCCCGAACTCGCTGCTAAAACAACAATGGCTTCTCATTTCAGCATGGTTTTCCTTTTCTCTTCCCTCTTCTTTTACATTGCAATTGGTGCTGAATATGAAGTAAATGGCGACGATGGCTGGATTGCACCAAAGCATGACAATCAAATTTACAACAAGTGGGCATCCAGTAACAGGTTCAAGGTTGATGACAGCATCCGTAAGTAGTACTACACCATTAATGTTTTGTCTTTTCCGATTACTTTCTTTTGTTGTTCTAGTGTTGGGTTTTTTCCAATTCCCATTGTTCTTGGATATATATATATATATTCAGATTTTAAGTACAAGAAAGACTCGGTTTTGGTGGTGACGCAAGAAGAGTATGACAAGTGCCAGCCCTCTCATCCTCAATTCTTCTCCAACAATGGTGACACTGTCTTCAAATTGGACCGACCCGGTTTATTCTATTTCATGAGTGGGGTAACCGGGCACTGCCAGAAAGGACAGAAGATGATCATCAAAGTGTTGGAGCCGGAAACTCCACCGCATTCCCAGAACCAGAACAGCACCACCAATACACCAGAGCATGAGAAGAATGGTGCATTTGAGGTTGCTGCTGTTACTGCTTCAACTATTATGCTGCTCGTCATATCAGCTTTTATGTAGCAATTCTCTTTTTGCATCTCTCAGCTCTTAGTGACTTTTACCTTGTGTTCTTCTTTCAATCACTTGGATAATGTGATTTCTAGGATTAATGATTTATGAGACCCTTTGTATTTGCTGCTAGGTGATTATTTTTGTGTTTTACAAATTTGATTCATGTTCTATTATAACTATTTTCCCTTGGCTCGTTTATGGACGTTACCCTTTCGAGATTTTTGATTTAATATAATCAATCTCTTGGATGCTAAAAACCATTACACTTGAGCTAAAAGCCTGAGTAAAGAACATTTTGCAGAACCTCCACAACATGTCAAATATGAATCATCAGAATTATTTCGATAAGAGAATGATGGAATTATCAGGCAAGAATTACACATCTTAAATACATGTCAATTTAAAACTAAGAATATATATGTGTATGTTCAACTTACAAGACTCGCGAAAAGCTATTAAAGCTTATCTTAATTTTCAAGTAGACTCACCCTCTTTTTCAAGAAAAAATGGTACAGATACAAAATTGTTGCAGACCAATGCAGCGGCTTCACCAACACAGCTTCTGCTAATGCCTTTATAAATGGCTTCTGGATGATGCTTCCGCTAATACCTTACAAATTGCCGATTATCATCTTCACTTCTCTGCCTCCCATACGGGTCGCTTTCACTAAAATTATTTCGCACTCCTTCCACTTTACGTGTTTTCTTTCTAAATTTGGATGCATTGCTGTCTATGTTCAGATTAACTTTAGGAGGGCATGAAAAACAGAAGGAAGCAGCAACGGCCTGCTCAAAAACAACATTTTCCGTTTCTTGTTGGTCAGCTTAATACACCTAGGTTATGTTCAAAATTTCATGGCTAACAATTGTTTCAGGATCAAGATATTTTACACTAGTTAATAATCCATTTAGATTGCACAACCACATGTAGAGAAGAGATTTACATTTTAAGATGTCAAAAGAAAGATCGTACCTGCATATCAAGGCGATGCACATTAAAGATATCTTTCATTGAGTGAGAATTGTATGCTAAAATGTAGGATCGATAAGCATCTTTAGCTGACTTGTTGAGATAATAGTTGTTTGCCACCAACTTCTCCTGCATCATTCCAAGCAGAGACTCTAAGCTCCCCCTCACTTTGTTATATCAACAAATTATAGTAAACAAAGAACCAAGAAGTTACCAGATGAGACTGCACATTCGCCAGCTTCTTCTCATCAAACTCATATTCCTTAACAGGAACTTTTGCTGCCTGTCATTAGAAATTTAGAGCAGAAGGAAACAGATTAAAATAGCAGTTCTTTAACAGACTGAGAAAAAAAAAAGTCATTCACCAAAAATAATGCACCTTTAGATAGCGAAGAAATTGTAGTTCCTCTGGGATAAGGAAAAGAAGAGCATTTCCTCTTGCACCTTCCCCACGAGCAGTTCGACCAACCCTATGAATATATTCCTGAAAGCAACATTCCCATGCCACATTTTACTCAACATGGATGAAAAAATAACAAGATACAAGAATAAGCAAAATGATACACACACACAATACAAAAGAAAGAGCACGCACCTTGGGTTCATCAGGAGGATCAAACTGCACAATCCAATCCTACAAACAGAAAAAAGAAAACAATAAACTTCAGTCAAAATGATTCCATGCCAACTATTGCAACAAAGATTCCTAATATTTCCATTCTCTCTCTGTTTTTTTTTTTTTAAGATTTTTATATCAATCCAATTAACCATAGCATTCATGCAGACAGATTTCAAAGCTGAAGCCAGGTTTTCCCTTTTACTCCCCCATTTCCCTTTTGGTGCTACTATATGAAGCTTCAAAAACTTGCCAAGTTTAAACTGATTGAGATACCCAGCATACGCTGACATGCAAATCATGTACAAAATTTTTATTTTAAAGAGGGGGAGGGGAGGAGAAACTAGATGGCGGTCATTTAAATTTAAACTATAGTTCAACTTCAAAAGATTAGTTGAGATGACCAAGCAATGTTCAAAATAAAGTTATTGAAAAGATTGCTACAAACATGGTATTATTCATACCATAACAGAGTCCAACAGACCACACAAATGGTCACTTTGGATGTACATACATTTCACCAACATATAATTCATGCAAAGTATCCAGTCTACTTGCAAACAACTATGAAATTGAAATCCATTGACTTTTTTATTTAAGAACAATAAAAAACAGTCATAATTAAACATTGCCAACAGCAGCCTCGGAATGGTGTGTAAACAAAATTGTGAAGTAAACCTAACCAGATCACTGAAAAATTTATGAACTTCACGGGAGACTACCATTGTCTTTTAAGAGTAGCATGAATTTCCTGATTTTGCACAAGATGCCACTGCATTGTGCATTGTTATATATAGTTGAGCATACCAATTACAGATAAGAAAAATATATATTAAGAATGTTTGCACTTGGACAACAAATATGCTAACATTAAGGTACCACTATTCCAACAATAAGCAGAAAACATTAATGGGAAGATCAACAGAAAATCATAAAATGGCAACTGCCATGACGGGCAACCCAATTCAACAAAGAAACATACCACGGCAGGAATATCAAGTCCACGAGCAGCAACATCAGTGCAAAGCAAAATGCCCTTTTCTGCTTTGCAAAAGTCAAAGAAGGTAGTGGTCCGCTTTTGCTGCTTTTGCTTTCCATGGATATCAAAGCAATCCACATGAATATATCTAAGAAGTTCTGCATGAAACTTGACTGAATTGCATGAAGAGAAAAAGACCATCACTTTCTTGGACAGGTTCCTCTTCAAAAATGAATACAAAAGGATAAATCTCTTGGAACTATGCACAACACAATAGCCTTGCTGCAGCCCTTCATTGGTGACCTACAATGACAGTGTCTTGTTAAGTCAAAGGATAAGTAAATAGTGCACTTGACTGTGTTTATATATCTGAATCCCTACTACACGCCTACCTTCTTTCTCCCATCATCTACATCTATATAAATAGGAGTTGTCTGAAATGACAAGCGGGCAAGGTCCTCAACCTGCAGATTTAGGGAAAAGTAACAATAAATGGTCACGTAAATAAAACCAAAATTTTGCTCCAAAATGAAAAGGAACGAAGAAAGTTTTGCCTTTTCCATTTATAGAGAAATAAGCTTGCCAAACAATTTTCTGAAGAAAGCTGGCATAGATGTGATTAAAATAAACCATAAGTCAAGGGAAAAATGGTCAATATGAATGAGAGTGAAGGGCCAACCTTCTTAGTCTGGGTAGCTGAAAATAGAGCAGTTTGCCTGTTTTGCTGCACATCAAGTAAAAAGTAAGCTCTAAAGACCTTAGAAGTTACCAAATCTAAGACTTGTGTATAACTTCAAACTGCTTTATAAACATGAAGCTTCTAGTGGACAAGCAAAAGCATGAAAGTACAATTCAAGCAAGAGGCATTGATCTTGATTTAAAGTTATGTCATAACCAGCAATCTCCTAGAGCATCATTTGTCATCACTCTGCAGAGGTAGAATGTCAGCATACTAACATTTTCAAAACAATTTATTTATCATGTTGCAATTACAACAAAAAATATATACACCACTGAGCTAACTAAAATTTTTATAAAGCAAAGTCTATTAATCCCAGAAATTCATTCTAACCTTCAATTTTTAAAGAGTACTAGCATACCCCTTTCAATTTATTAAAGAAAATTTCACTAATATTTTGATTACCCAACACCTAATTTTCAAGAAAAGCCCTTGGGGCAATTACGTGAGATCATAAAATCAAAACATACACAAGTAACTTCACAATCAACAATATAAATGGGTAAGATGATTTGCCTTTTTTGGAAGCATGATACTTTGCTTCATTTTTTCCAGCAACATAATTATTAGAAAAGAAGTCTATTTCTCTTTTCAAATAAGAGAACATCACAAGTTGACAAAAACTAGTCAATGCAACATAATTCATGCCTGTTCATAAGTTAGTTGACCAACTGAACCTAGTCCTTCAGAAAGTCAAGCTTTTTAATCAGTAATATATTACTTCAGAAAATATATTCTACACCAATCTAAAGGGATTGGCATAGCTTATTTATGTCAATAAAAAATGTTACTACCACAATTTTGGTTACCATCCATTTCCTTCAGAAGTCCTAGAGGCAGATTAAATGATGTAATTCAAAATCATAATTTCCTGACATCGCTCTAATCAACAATATAAGTGGCTAAAAAATTCACCTTAGGAAGAAACTTGATAATTTGCTTCATTTCTTCCTCAAAATTTGCTTCCAATATCCTGTCAGCTTCATCAATCATGAGACACTGCAAATTCCACGAATTTTTAGAAAATTAAAATTCATATAATGTACCAAGTTTAACTATAAGTCAGAATAATTATAATGACTGAATTAAATTTTTCAGAGAGCAAGGGGTTTCAAGTTATCTGCATGAAGCAGCTATAAACTCGAGGCATTGCTAAACTAGTTTATGAGTTGATAGAAATAATAATTCACCAGAAGCACTCCAACATATGCCATATAACATTGATTCTAAGAGAGGAATGCATAAACATTTTACCAGCTAGTAAGGGTTAATTACACATTTATTACACAAACTATGGTGAAACTGTTGATTTGCTACCTGAAGTTTAAAAATTTACAATTAAGTACTTGAACTTTACTCTCCTTAAGCATTTTGCACCTTTGACTGATAATGTTAGTCAAATGAGCGATGTCACAAAAAATAGCTAAGAAGAATGCACCACGTGTCTTAAATATGCAACATCATTTTACATTTTTATTAGGGTAAAATACCCCCATCCTCTTAAGTTTTAATCGAAATTCTAAGTAGATCCATTAATTTTCGAAATGGGCACTCCGCTCCAAGAGTGCAAACACTGTTAACAGAAATTATAAAACAACTAAAATGCCTTTTCTTTCTTTATTAATTTTAAAAAATTATTATTATATTTAAAAAAAATTAAAAAAAAATAGGGAACACTAACTCCCCAAGAAAAAGGAGTACCGGGAGGGGAGCTCGATGGAGCTCCAATGCTCCCTAGATGGGGAGCTTTTTTTTATTTAATAAAATTATATAATAGTAATTTTAAAAATTAATCATGAGTAAAATTATCTTTTTACCCTTGCCATGTCATTAAATTGAAGAAAACACTAACAGTTGACTAACGGCTAGACCTTCA